AAACAAGAGTCTAGCATCAAAGTATTGCATGTATAGTGTATTTTGATAGCTATATATTACTCAGGAATATTGCTTGCATCCCAAWAGGGGTAATTTCTCCCCCTCCAGCCCCTTTACAATTTCCTAAGCATAAATGAAATGTCGTTCGCGCGGAAATGATACCATATGTGAAATAAGCTATAAATTCTAAACTGTTTACCTTTTCTTTGAATAGCCAAGTTGTACAACGTCTCCATGCAGYTAGGACGAGTTATGAATCCATATGCCAAGTTGTTTTTGCAACTTTGTGGYGACGAAGGAGACAGCAGCAAAATCGTTCTTCGTCCGACTGGAGGTCCAACAGACACCTTTCAAGAAGGAAAAGTCTACAAATTCTCAGTTGAAATGCCATCAGTTGGAAAGGTAAGGTTTTCTTGCTAYATAATCAAATATTTTGCAGTATTTTTATCGTTTTCCTCTCCTTCATGGTCGGGTCTTCGCAGTTGCTGCTCAAAAAAGACGCGCGCGCGTACTCATATTTTCGCGCGCTTTTTGACCGCTGACCAATATAACTTTTTGCGGATGCAGAGGTCAACAACTGGAAGTGAATCGACAAACATCAAGAGAAAAACATCTAAAAATACAACAATTTTAACAGCTAGATTGCTAAGTGACTAGAAGACAAGCTTACTAGGAAATAAAGCCAAKCAAAGCAATGAAAAAAGGAGAATAAGTTGACAAAGGCAAGCAACCAGCTATCCCTGCAGAGCGAAAATGACAAGGAAATCAAGGAAATGTACAAATTTACTTAAAATAGTGAAACACTGAGAGAACAAATAAGATTTATAATATAATATTTGTGCAATTGTTCTTGCTTTGTCTTTTAGGTCGACAAAATTCGTATTGGACATGAAAGTCGTGGACGTAATAAAGGCATCTACGTCGACGAAGTCGAAGTRACCCCGGAAGATGAAGAAACGGTATTTTTTCCTTGTGGCTGCTGGCTGGCCGAGGACATGGCAGATGGAAAACTGGAACGAGAAGTGCATATGGGGCACGCSCCTGCTCCTATTGGCACTGGTAAGTAATATAACTCTCTTACGTAAAGCTTTCAGGTCGTTTTGACTGGTTCCCATTTTCTAAAACCATTACATTCTTTCTTTTCTTCCCTATTTTTCTTTCTTTCTCTTTTTGCTACTTTCCTCTACAAACAAACAAACAAACAAAAATGTGACGGTAGATGTGGCTTTTCTCCAGTACCTTACATTAACTATGATGAACAGTTGAATGGCTTCCAGTCACTGACCCCTTAGCTAATCACAATGAAGCTGTCTGTCACCTTCTCGACCAATCAAAAACCAGGGTGATCAACGCTGGACGCTATAAGCGAAAAAAACTCACATAATTACATGGATTTTTTTTTGCTGAGAAAATTATTGCATTGCTCCCAACAATATCGTATAAGTGTTACGCTATTTAATTTGAAAAATTTACTTCATACGAAAAAAGAAAATCATAATTCATATTGATATTCTGCATTTAATAGTGATAAGTTAGTTATTCAATATCAACTTTCCTGAAAAATAGGTTTGATTAAATAATGATATTTTCTTGTTGAGCGAGAATGTCATTTTGGTTTGTTGTTGGTAGTCATTTATCACTTCAGTGATTAAAACACAATTTATTTATTTCAATAATCCCACAAACCCCCCTTGAAAGCGTCAAAACAAAGGCTTAGACAAAAGAATAACGGCCTTATATGCATATCAAGTCTGCTGAGCAACAGCCAATGTATACCTGCTAGCTACTTACCACTGCCTRTRCGGATTTTAATACCGAAAAATGGACAAAAGGTGGCAGATTTTAATTTAAAAACTATATGACAACATCTATTACAACTAAAAACTAAAATAATATCTGGAAAAGTCCAACTTACCGCTAAAATCCAAATGGTTATTCAAGAAGAAGGTTCAAACATAGGTAAGGTTGTAATATTTGCGATGGAACACGATTTTTCATCGACAAATCGTTTTGCTATCTTATTCAATAACTGAAAATCGATTTGTAGCTATTGTCTTGAGCTGGGAGACCTGTGCTTTCGACAAAATATGTTCTTTTTTGTACAACCAGGTAGCTGGAAACAAAAAAGTCGTCTTGAAGATATTAGACTTTATAATTTCCTCGCTCGGAGCTATTTTTCACCTTAGTTTCGTCGAAAAACACGTTAGATTCAAAGTCAATTTCTTAAAAGTTTTTTGRTRATATGTGTGTAAAAATAATTCGTATTCAGTGAGTAATATTTCCAGTTTTGTCGACTACTATCAAGCGAAAAGAAACTGCTTTAGTACATAAGAGCAAAGCAAACATTCATGCACGATCTAATGATTTCAAAAACAAGAATGAATTCTGCATATAAATTATATAAGATACTGCCAATATTGGCACTGTTTTAGGAAACGCTTTCGATGCATTTGTCATGCTTTTTTCTTGGACTAGTAATATCATATAAGTTTATTATTAACCGGTGTGTGGATAATTTTTAGTATTTCACTGTGAGACATGGGATTATGTATCGTTACTGAGTCAATAATTGTTAAGCCAAGTGTTGTCACTAGCTCTATATTCGCTGCTGTGGCCTGAATTTGATAATTTAACTCAGAAAAATCCTAATCCCACTATTTTCAAAGTTKTTCTGGTTCARAGTGAACGCAWTTTCTCATGGATGAGRGATTTTCRTGGACYGTATCTGGACAACGTTTCTGTAAGTGTTCAAAATCAAAGTTCCTGTTTTTATTTAAATGCGGTGCTCTACCAAATCCCTCACCATATGATTTTGTTTGTTTTTGCTTGTATTTCTCGCTTTTAAAAATTATTTCGAGATCTGGAGAATACTTTGAAGATTTTGCTCAGCGCTTTAGGTTATGTTTTCCTGGTATACTACATGAATTGTGTACTATGTCATTTGCCARTGGTATAGTTTGGACATGCTCTGACATATTATTGATATTAGACTTAATAAACTGTAGACAAACTTTTAAAAATGGCTTTAAAGCTACAAATAATAATAATTCCTAGTCGATTAAAATTATGTGTCCATCCTAATTCTACTTATATGTTTCTTCTATATTTTAGTTTATAGCTTGAAAACTTGTTTATCTCTCGATGCGGCCAGTTTTCAATTTTCCCGATATCTTGCAAAACTGGCTAACATTTTTATGAAAGGGAGGTAGAATATTTGATTTATTAGCAAATTTGGCCCAGATTTAAACRAGTTTTATCCAAGTGAATTTTATATCATCGATATTTACTGCCTCCCGATGACGACAGATGATGTCATCGCTTCAGGTYCATAGCTAATCTCTTTTACCATTCTCTCCTAATGATGCGCATCTATAAAATCCTCCTGCGACCTTTTTATTGTTATATTGCAAGACATGGTACAATGTTTACTMAATGTTTACTTCAGATTCAAACCAAGTGGTCGCTGCCCGATTTAAAGAGTTGGTCGTTTTCCCGATGTAGTGGTCGATTTAAGAGGTTACGAATAACTRATTTATTCTTGTTTTTTAGATGCGACTCATACCGTTTCTGTCMGACTTGGCGAGGTGCTCAACTACAATGCCCAGTTGTACATCTACATGGTCGGTGTCAGGGGGGAGACRAGTAAAGTACCATTGCGACCTGAGGGACTCCTGGAGAGGACAAAAACCTACCAGTTCCCACTAGCACTAAATGTTGACATCGGAAAAGTAAGTCATAAAACGCAATAAAAGAAATACGAAATTTATAGGAAAGTTGCTACATTTGAGAGATAAGGCAATGGATTTCTTCTCGTCCCCAGATTAAGTTGGTTCGACGCAAATGTTCATTTTCAGTGTTTTTTTTTAAGACAATTTTTTTTCTTGTAAGATCGAGAGGATCATTCTTGGTCAGAACAGCCGTGGATATGGCAAAGGGTTATTCGTTGAAGAAGTCAATATACAACCAACCGGGGGAGTCAACATTAACTTTCCTTGTCAGTGTTGGCTGGCTGARGATGTATGGGACAGTGAAATAGAAAGAGAATTGTTCCCTGGTGTRCCAGTCAAGAAAGCACCTAGTAAGTATTGATGTTGCTATCATTTTTGGCAAAAACAACGATATCAAGCCGAGTGTTCTCCGAGTAGTCGAAAGAGCGCCCAGAGTGAGTCAGTCGAGTGAATCAGACAGAATTACATCAACCGCTTCCTCCGCCATTATTATCACTACTATCTTTTTTTTTTTTTTAAACATGTTTTTTTTTTTTTTTTAATTTAACAATCACACAACTAATACACAAAAAAGGGTACAGTGAACATAGTCAAGTGTACAGATAAATTACATATTACAGAGATCACTACTATCACCATCATCATCGTCATCATCGTCATCATCATCATCATCATCATTATCATCATCATCATTATGAGATGATAACTCTATTATTCTTTTACTTCTAGACACTACATACGAGCTGACATTCAAAACAGGCGACAAACCACATGCCGGCACAGACGCCAATGTCACTCTACAGATCTTCGGCGAACATGGTCAGACGGAGAAGATTATGTTACGACAGAGTGGTCGGTTGAACACACTGAAACGGTTTGACAGAGGTCGTACGGACAGATTYGATGTACAGACTCTTAACGTTGGAAAGGTAGAGACACTGAAATRGCTTTATTGACAGCCAGTAATTAGCGTGAAGTAGCTGTCAATCTAGGGTTGTGACGAATTGGGCGCAAACTGCATCTCCAAAGCCATAAAATACGTGATTAAATCTGTATAGCTTTCTTAACCAATCAGCTATCAGAATTTCTTGAAATTATTATGAATCTGTAATGAGCATGGGCAGTGGCGCTTTTACTAGTTAGTAATCATATATTTTGATTAACGAATTTCTTATGTCACGTGATTTAGTTGACAAAGATACGTCTAAGCCATGACAACTCAAATCCAGACCCCGAGTGGTTCCTGGACAAGCTGACCATCTCAATACCAGACATTGGTGAAACTTACCACTTCCCAGTGGACCGATGGCTGACTGGGGATGAAGCAGACGCYTTGGTTGAAATGGAAATGGAACCAAGTAAGTCACTACACCATCCCCCACAGTCAACTATAACACCATACCAGAGTATGACTGGTCAACAATRCTAACTTATCTCCTCTTTTTGTAGCTCTTGTTGAACCCATTGTTGTSGTCGAGAAAGAATTACCAGTTCAGTCAGGTATGTTGGTTGGTTTTGTACTTGGTTTGCTTTATTTTTGCATTTTTGCTCTAGTCTGTTAATCAAATTGTTTCGATTTTGAGTTCATGTGAATTTCATCCGTTTGTAATTATTTTCAGGTATTGAATTCACCGATTTAGAGCCACCTAAGGTCTTATATACAGGTAACTATCTTCATTTCACGTTGAATTCAGTGCTCATTGAACTCATTATCATTGATATCCCTTGTTTATCTCAGTCTCATTCAGGCTGGGMCCAATGCTGGACCCTTATACCAGAGTTTATCTGATATTTCATGGTGAAAATGGTGATTCTGAGAAAATTTACTTAAATCCACCCAACGGACAAGAACTAGAGACCGACAAAGTGTACAAAGTTATTACAGAGGCACCAGACGTCGGACAGGTAAAATTGATTGACAGCTGTCTATTATACAGGATGATGATGATGAAGAGTGTAAAACGTTTCATTTTGATTGCAGTTACTTTGATAAAAATCCTGATCAAGTATAGTTTTAACCTTAATATTTGCTACTTTTATAGATCCACAGTGCTACCATTGGTCACGATTCGCCCGGGCCAGATAAGGGTGTGTTCATGGAAGAGTTTGACATCTCTGCTCCCGCTGAGAAACCCGTAGTATTCCCCAGTCGTTGCTGGCTGGCAGAAGATGTCGATGATGGTGCGACTGAGAGGACGTTGAGGCCTGGAGAGACTCTGACGTACCCTTATGAAAGTAAGACCTTTAGATATAAAAGTGTATTGTGGATGAGGGAACGGGRATCTACAACTGAATTTATTTATTAGTGATTGATTGCTTTAGTCATTAATCTACACATTTAGTATTTATTTAAGTAATGATTTAATAATTTATTTAAATTTTCATTAAGTCATCTAATATATCCATTCAACCATTGATTTGTTCGTTCTTCCATCCAGTGAACTTATTTTTTCACTCATCCATTTATTCACTTATTTTTTCCATTCAAGTATTCATTCATTTATTCATTCCCATTCTGTTTCAGTTACGTTCACTATTGGAGAAGTGATTGACCCTCGATGCAAGCTGTACATGATGATATACGGTACAAAAGGAGACTCGGGCAAGCTATACCTGTCGCCTTCCGATGGCAGCGAGTTCGTAAAAGGACGAACCTATAAAGTCATTGCTGATATCAGAGACATTGGCGACGTAAGTATTTCTGTTTTGCGTCGTATTTCTCACGTGTCTACCCCAATTTGATACGTATAACTGTATTTTGTTGGATACAGATCGATGAGATTCGTCTCGGACAAGAAGGCGATAGAGGTCTTTTTGTTGAAGGCGTTGACGTCAAAGGACCCGACGTGGACCCWGTCATCTTCCCATGTCGTTGCTGGCTGGATAGTCATATCGACGATGGAAAGACCAGTCGTGTCCTTCGACCAGGAGAAACTGTAACATTCCCATATGAAAGTAAGTATTCTGTACTGTTACAACTGTCTGTCTGTGCGCCAATGTCTTCCGCCTCAATCTTTGTCTGTCTGTCCCAACAGACATTTACTGTAATATTGTTGTTTTAACGTAGTTACGTTTACGCTGGGAGACGTAGACCCGGATGCGCAACTGTACATGATAATCTGCGGTACGGAAGGTGATTCTGGTAAACTATACCTCACGCCGTCAGACGGAAGCAAGTTTGTTAAAGGACAGACCTACAGAGTCATCGTTGACGTTCCGGACATTGGAAACGTAAGTGTATAAAACGTTGCGAAACGTGAAATTTTACGTAACATTTCGTASTTATGATGTTTTATTATTCGTGGTTTACTTCTATTGTACGTAAGACGGATTTCGTAACGTAACGTAACCTATCGTACGTTAATTTAGATCGAGAAAATCCGCCTTGGCCAAGAGGGATCAGATAAAGGCGTTTTTGTTGAGGAAGTTGAGATAAGAGCACCAGGAAAAGATCCACTCTTGTTCCCATGCCGCTGCTGGATTGTAGACCAGGAGAGGGAACTGGCACCTAATGAAACCATCACACCTTTAGAAGACAGTAAGTTCAAGATTGTTACGTAAACGCAAAAATATGATTGTAGTAACGTCAATCTTTACTTTCCGTATTCAGGTACGTTGTATAACGCAACGTTCGAGACTGGTGACGTACCATTTGCTGGGACCGACGCAACGGTATTCTTACAAATGTTTGGTACKGATGGCAATACTGACAAGATTGAATTCCCGCAAGACGATGACCAGTTACGTTTTGAGAAGGGACGTACGGATAAGTTTGCGGTGGAGACGGTTGATATCGGGGACGTAAGTAGTCAAATTTCAACTATGAAATTCATAAGAAACCAACTTGTTAGCGCTTTCAGAGCGTCTACTTTTATTTGGATTTCATGACATACGTACAGACGCATGTAATTACGGAAACGCATCACCTTAACGTAAAACGTGCGTCTTTATACGTACCCATTTCTGTTTCAGCTAACAAAGGTTCGTGTTGGGCATGATAACAARGGTCATAGTCCTGAATGGTTCTTAAAGCAGCTAACTATCGACGTTCCTTCSAAAAATAAACGTTATGTCTTTCCATTCAACAACTGGATTGCTGGAGAAGATGTTGATCTAGAACCTGGTAATTRATCTCCCTTCTCATGGTTGTCTGTCTGTCCGTCCGTCTGAGTGATAATCTGTTTATCTTTGTATTWTTGGAGATTTTTTTTACTAAATCTACTCTTTTTTGTATTTCAGTTGACGAAAAATCTCGGGCAGAACTGTACACAAGTAAGTAAAAATTCGTCCATTTGYCCGCCTTCATGTCCTTCYGTCTGTCTGTATGATATTAAACTTAGTGTCTGATTCATAGTTCTACTCAAGCTGGGCGATGTATTAGACCCTCATACACCCGTACTAGTTCAACTCATTGGTGAGAAGGGAGAGAGCGGAAAGATTCAAGTAAAACCAGGCGTTCGACCAACGGACAAGTTCGAAAAAGGCAAAATCTATAAGCTTATTGCTAAAGTTGGTGATATTGGAAGGGTAAGTGCGTTACGTACTTGTTGAATTGCGTGACATTAGAAGAGGTGAATGCGTTACATACGCCTGGCGTTTTACTGAACGTGACTCGAGAAAAGTCATGCGTTACATTTCTTCAAACTCACTTGTTTCTTTGTTATTCAGATCAAAGATGTTCTTGTCACGCAAGATGAGTCCATTCCCAGTGAAGGTCTGTTCGTGGAAGAAGTTGAGGTCACGTCMTCTCAGGGTGAAACCCAAGTGTTCCCTGTTCGCTGTTGGACCTGTCCTGAGAAAGATGGAAAGGGTTAGTGGGAGAGATTTCTAGGAAACATGGAAGGGAAAGAAAAGAGAAATGAATGAAAAATAGAAAATATAGAGAAGAAATCAAACTACTAACATATTATTGTTTAATGTAGAACATTAAAATGACAAAAAATAATGAGAAAGAATGATTGAAGCCATTCTTTTTTTATTTATTCTCATGCTATTTTTCTGCTTTAAGATATGTTGTACGATGTGACTTTTAAAACTGGTGTTCTACCAAACTCTGGTACATCAGCAAACGTGTTCTTCCAAATACATGGGGATGAAGAGAGCACCGAAGAGATCCAGCTACAGGAAGACAAGTCATTGAACTTGTTTGAGACGGGAGGAACTGATAAATTTACCGTTGAAACAAAGAGTGTTGGCAAGGTTAGTGCTTGACCCCCTCCCCCAAAGGTTACGACCCCCTCCCCCAAAGGTTACGACCCCCTCCCCCAAGAATCACGACGAATATGTATTAATGAACGTCCGATTTCGTTACAGATAACAAGGTTGCGCGTAGGGCATGATAACACAGGACCTAGTCCTGATTGGTACCTCCAGARAGTTAACATTGATGTCCCCGACAAGGACGAGCATTATCAATTTAACTTCAATCAGTGGATTCGAGGGGACAATCCTGAAGTAGAGGTGGCTGCTGGTGAGTAGAGTCACTTTTTTGACGACGCAGTTCCGACGCAGCTCCGACGCAGTTCCGATGCACTTCCGACACAGTTCCGACTCAACTTCCGACTCAACGTTTATTCATCTCTTCTTTATCATGAKAGTCGTTGTTATTCATCACTTGTCATCATCGTCATGATAACAATATATTATATTTGCTATTCGTTACTTTAAGAGTTAAAATACTGTTTTTAATAACTGGATTTTCTTTTTTTTCAGCACCAGATCGATCAGACAAACTTCAAGGTAATGTTATAATTCACTCTCGTAAACGATCATTTTCATTATTATTATGTGCATTATTTAAGCTTTGCCGAAATTAAAAGTCATYTGTTCTGCAAGTGATAACTGTAGATCCAATAGCACAACGTTTCTGTGCGAACATGTACAGTACCAATGACTACATGATTAAACCTAATGATTTTTCGAATTTTACAGATCTCGACTACCGTATCACGGTTAAGACTGGTGACGACCTTAAAGCTGGCACTGACTCAAATGTGTTTCTTCAAATGTTTGGCGACGAGGGACAGTCCAGCAAGTTCCTTCTTCGTGAGGAAGGAGACAGCASTAGATTTACACGTGGAAAATTGGACAAGTTTGTCATTAGGAACAAAGATCTTGGAACGGTGAGTAATGAGATTAGGAAGCCATAAGTAAATGAATGAAAGCAAAACAAATGAAAATATGGCTGAATGAATGGRTGAATAAATGRTGAAATTATCGGATAAATGARTGAATTTRCCATTAGATAAATAGATGGAATCGCTGAATGTTGAATGCGTGTTAAACTCTATTTCCTTGCKATTGCTTGAGCCAAATTAAGCAAAACGAACAMATAWTCGAGATGCATTTGCTTTCTTGTTAGTTGGAAAGGATATACGTGCATCGTGACGATGCAGGGTCAAGAGCAGGCTGGCAACTTGATTACGTCAAGATTGATATCCCAGAGAAAGATGAACACTATCTCTTTAGATGTAACCGCTGGCTCACAGCAACGCATCCTGATGCGGAATTTGCTGGAGGTATGTCACGCAATATCATAATCATCGTGATATTCATATACACCCTTTTAATAAGTCCCGAGGTATTGTGTTCTCCGCACTTGACGTCAAATTTATTCTTTTGAATTCCTTTTGTATTTTAAAAATTTCAAAAGAATAAATTTGACGTCAATTGCGGAGAACTCGATACCTCGGGACTTATTAAAAGGGTGTATATGGCCAACATTTTACAGTTTAATTTTGTACTTTTGACTCGTGTTGCAAGTAGAGTGTATTGCGTTACATGCTATGTGTTGAACTACATATGTATATTTCTGATGTTGCGTTACTTATGAACTCTTTTTTTGTTTTGTATATTAACGCGGTTCAATTTGTAATAATTTCAGAGAGAGTTTCAGAAAAAGAAGGGATGTACACAGGTATGACCCGTCATTATGTATCCGTCACGCATTATGCGTTACTTTGGAAGGTATAGTAATGCGCTGCGTGACTCACCAATCTTTTATATTTGCAGTGGTCTGTAAGGCTGGGGATGTTTTGGATCCTGGAGTGAGTCCATACTTCCAGATATTCGGKGATGAAGGAGAGACTGGTAGGATAATGTTGCGTGACGGATACCCCTCACAGCACGTGTTCAAGAAAGGCAATACTTACAAAGTGTCTTTGAAAAGTCCTGAGGTTGGAGAGGTGAGRCYCRTTTTGTAATTCTTATATTCTCCTTTCTGTTCTTTTTCTAMTTTTCCTTTTCTTTCTCACTATTTATAACCACCGCGTCAATCACTAATGACACTCTGTGTAGATCAAGTTCGTTTTTCATTTGTTCTTCTATTTATCTTCTATCTTCTATTTCACTTCCCATCCTCGCTTCACTGTGTAACGTAATTTAACTATCGCTCACGCCAAATATCATCACTTCAGATTACAAAGCTTCGTCTTGGTGAYGATGGTGGCGGTCGTGGTCGTACGATCTTCGTTGAGGAAGTCTCTGTCATCGACAAGAATGGCGATGAAGTCGTTTTCCCATGTCACTGTTGGCTTGGTACWGATGATGATGGCCGGCCAATTATACGGGAAGTGGCACCCGGGGAAACGGTACCCGATGATGTTGATGGTAAGAGTGAGAGAAGCCCTGCTTTGATATGTAAAATATACTTGATTGTTTCTGCTCCAACATGACCATTGAAGGGTACAAAGGTATCTTTTGGACACCTCAGTTCTGCAGGGACTGAAAAGATGGAGCTGATTCCACTGTGTTAAGTTTTCTTCTTTATGTAGATATCTTCTATCACATGACCATCATCACGGCTGATGAACCGGGGGCTGGTACCGACTCCACAGTTTACTTCCGGTTGTACGGAGAGAAGGGTGAGACATCCGACATCGTCCTGGAAGATGAGAGAAATAAGTCMTTTAAAAAGTTTGAACGAGGACGCGCTGACAAGTTTGTCGTTCAAACTGCCGATGTGGGAAAGGTTAGTGAAAGAAAAACAAATTTTATTTGGATTTTGATTGGGCTTCCTGTGGTATAGCAACCGCTGACAAATATGTTTGTTTTTAGCTTCAGAGTATGGTGATAGGGCACAACAACAGCGGAGATGACCCATCATGGCTGCTGGAAGAAGTCCACGTTGATATCCCCTCACGTAACGAACACTACGTGTTTAGATGCGGAAAATGGCTGAAAGTCAATAACGGAAAAGATGAAACCGAAACTGTTCTTTATCCAGGTAAGTAGTCATGGGATTCCTATGCCTGTAGAATTTGCGAAGGGCTTGGTATCTAGTGAAGGAAAAGCCTCGATCCCAACCCTCTTTCAAGTAACACAGGATACCCAATCAATAAGTTGTTTTCTTGTAGATCCAGAAGATAAACGTGTCCCAGTCGACGACCGCATCGAGGGAGTCATTGATGATCAACTATTACAAGGCGCAATGAACGATGAAGGTAATGGAATACCTGTGCTTTACGCCAACCGTTAGGGACTAAGGCCCACGTTCCAGTGCCTTCCCAATCGATGTCTAAATATGTATACCATATTTATATCAGATTTTATTTTTCAGATTTGTTCGGCGAGCCTACAGGTAAAATGGTTATAAAACAAAAACAAAAAATAAAAATAATTTAAAGGACCATGTGCATCCGAAATCCTTTGCGCGATTTCCTCACGTGACACATTTTATTTATAGAGCTGGATTACAAGATAGATATCACGACCGCTGACCAGTCCAATGCAGGCACGCACGCTGGCGCTGATTTCCAGTTGCTTGGTGAACGTGGTGAGACTGACAAGATCTTCCTTGGTCACAATGATGATGGACAGCACTTCCAGCCTGGACAGACAGACACCTTTAACACACATGGAAAGGATGTCGGCAAGGTACATTCAGACACCCACTGTATAGCTTGCGTGACGCTGTCACGACAAAATTGCGTGACGCTGTTCACGACAAAGTTGCGTGATACGTTTTTATATCTTCTTAACGTGATGAGACTAATTTCTGCTTTATCTTACGTTTCGATGTGAAAGCTTACGTTCTCCTTACGTGACGTTACGGTTTTCCTTTTATTTAACAGCTTCAGTATTTCCGTATTGGGAACGATGGACGCAACGCGTCGCCCGACTGGCTGATTGACCAGGTTGAGGTTTACGTACCTGAMCGTAACGAGCGTTACGTATTCAAGAACAATAAATGGATTGATAACCGTGATAATCCAATCGACATCCCCTTGCGTAAGATGATTAAGCTTATTAGTATTTATTAGTATCAAMAGTGATGATGGTGATGTGTGTTGATGTAGAGCGAGGAATGTTGGTGTTCAGGTGATAATAATTACTGCAAATGTGATTGCGAGTGAATAACAATCTTACGATTATAAACACAATTAATCATAAACTAGTCAACACAACGTTGAAATTTACTAATCTGTTTTCTGTTTTCAGACTCTTTCTCACATTGTCAATTAGGTAAGCTACTGGAATCCATTTCATCCATAACTGTTATAAAAGTACAATTTATTTCCAAGCATTGTGCAGTGAATCTTTATCGTTTTTACTTTGTTCATATTACTAAAGTTATGAGTATAATTCTGTAATGGGCTGATATCGTTTCTTGTCGTTTAGTTGGTAAAGAACCAACAATTCCAGATTTACTGGAATTCATGCAGTCTGGTGACAGCACCAAAGCCACCCATGCAGCCTTCTACTTACAACATTTAACTTACAAYAACGAAAGCGTCAAGAATGAAGTCAGGTGGGTTGGTTTTTAGTGAGTCCTTTTGGACTGAAATAGTCAGAGTCTTTGCTTTTCCTTTGTTGCTAATATAAAAACATTTCCTTTTCRTSGATAGGGAACTTAAAGGKATCCCAATCATTGTTGACTGCCTGTATCATAGCAACGAGAACGTKCGTTAYGGTGCRGCGTGTGTGCTTCGTAACCTCTCCTACAGCTCAGAGAGTGACGTCAACAAGATTGCCATAGCTGATGGCAGTCGTGATCATGGTGGAATCGAAGCTTTGGTAGATATGCTACAGCGAACAAGCAAACAAGAGGTAAAACACCATCTGYGCATGCGCATTCCTGAATCTTGAACCTATTTTAATCATTTTCTTGTATTTACAGCATCGCGCAGCYGCCCTCGTCGTTCTTCGAAACCTGTCTGTACTAGAGGTAAAAACACTAATAGAAATTACCAATCATAAATAATTGATTAATAATAGTTAATATTCTGTGGTACTTTGCTTTATTACGTTCCTGGGAACTGTATTGAAACCAGAACTAAACTTTCAAGAATAACTTCAAAACATGTAGGCTAAAATCTTTTGCCAATCTTTTTCCTCAGAGCCTTCGTCTTAAGATCCTTCGCCTTTGTCTTCATATTCTCGTAATTGTTATCATCAAGATATTCTCTGGCTGGGACAAGACGAAAGCACARCGTGAGCCCGAGAAATCGAATGAACAGTGGTCAGAGCTGTTAGAGCATGCGACACGGATCGTGCGGAATGTCTCRTCAGCTGGAATCGACGCMCGTGAGGCAATMCGSTTCGAGGAGCATTTGATMGACTGTCTGGTTTGGATCGTTAGAGTGGGAGTAAAAAATAAGCGATACGATGATAAGGTATAATTATTATTAATATAAATTTAATAATTTCTATTAATTTATGTTAATTTATGCTTATTTTTAGTGCGTCGAAAACTCAGTTTGTGTACTACGTAACCTCTCCTATCGGCTCGAAAGTGAACTGGATCGAGACATTTACGACGACGCTGAAGTCCAGCTCGACAAAGCAACTGTCAAAGAACAGCAATCCCAAGGATGCTTTGCGGGTTGTGGAGGAAGAAAAAAGAAAAAATCMAAAAGTAATATTCCAATGGACAAACAATCACGCAAAGGACCCCCMACRGGACCGGCTTTGCTGTACCAGCCCACCACTGTACGTCAGTATTTTGTTTTGCTGCGAAGTTCAAAGAATCCTGAAACACTGGAGGGATCTGCTGGAGCTATACATAACCTTACCGCGTGTTCCTGGAAGGTAAGCACGTGTGTTGGCACGTGATTCCCATGTGAATCGGATAAGTGCATGTGAACTATTTAATCAAACTCATACCCAGGGTTATCCCACCTTCCCAAGCAAAAGGATAATTGCCTGGGAACGAGTATGCTATCAGCCATGTCATATGATTTCGTTTTAAACCTGTTTTTCTGGTTTTTAGTGGGCTATCAAGATTCGTGGAGATACGAGAAGAGAGCAGGCAATACCACACATTATCAGTCTACTTAGAACAGACTACGACCCAACAATACGCGCGTCGGCCATTGCGCTAAGAAACTTGTCAGTCGACCCTGAGAACAAGAGAATCATAGGTAAATATCCTGTAACATTGTGTTAGGGTGAGGATGATTTGAAATCAATGTCATCGTTTTCTCTCTAGGTGAAAAGGGTACTGGTCCTTTGGTCAATCGTCTACCACAAGGAGATGAGAGAAGCCCCAGGCTCGTCAAAGACGCAACTGTGGTTTCTCTACTTTGCGCTTTGTTCCAACTTGGAAAGAAGAGCGAGAAGAATGCAAGGTAATGTTATAAACTCTTTTTGGGAATCTATGAATCTTTTCAGGTCCTTGAAATGATAAGTGCATGGGAACGAGGTTGAGTTTCAGATGGTATCATGGGTAATTTATCAGCCTCGTGATCGAAATTGTCATTCCACGCCAACAAACTGACATGTCTATTGTTTTAAGCCACCCATGATCCCCTGCGACGCTAGTTTGCCGCTGGTTCTACAGTTTACATAGGAGACTATGTTACCTGGAAATGATGTATATTTTGATCGCGACCATATTTAAAATGAAAGTATTTTCACAGGATGCTCAAGAAAACAACAGGAATACGTAGAATGGTAAAAATAGCGAAGTCCAACAACAATGAAGCGACGAAGAACAAGTACGATGAACGCGTCGTTAGAACTGCCAATCAGGTAACAGTCAAGTGACTACAATCAATCAAACCACGCGCAATGCATGATGGAGCTGTCATGTTTACTCATAACATAAGAACAAAGACAATAATATGATTTCTGTTAGAATGTTACACTATAATGATTAGATTTTGTTCCGTGGATTTAAAATCCTGCATTTTAATATTTCTTTCTGGTACAATTTCAGACTTTGGCAAGTCTTTGGCCTCATGAAGTCTTAAAACAACAAATGAAGTCAGAAGGCTGGGAATACAACGCTAACAACAAGAGTTTAGAGGTTGATTTCCCAGAGGAATTTGACAAAGTCTCCCAACCCCCCACCCCCTCAGGGAGCCTAAACAGACRAAGRGAGGACGACACAGGATCGTTTTCAAACAAAGATCCTGAGCTTCATCGTATCCAACGGCAACCAGAATTATACCAACGGTCACCTAGCAGCGACCAAGGCTATCGTAAATATCCCAGTAATTCAGGTTCAACCGCTGGTCACTCAAGCCGCGCCGGCAGTACCTCCGGAAGTCAAGCTGATTTTGGCAGTGAGTGGTCTGGGCGACAGCGTAGCTGGGGCGAGGCAATAAATTCTGTTCCACCTCCACCCTACCAATCAGATGATAACAGATCTGGTAAAGATTTTATAGAGATGTCCGATAGAAGTAAACCTCCGATTGGGATGAAAAACGAACGGCCGAAGCGAAATGACTTAGTTCAAGATAACCCCAATGACTGGGTCTAGCGACACAGGAATCCCAATTACTGGGTCTAGCGACACAGGAATCCCAATGACTGGGTCTAGCGACACAGGAATCCCAGTGGCTGGGTCAAGAGACTCAAGGCCTATCAATACGATTTAAATATTTTTTAACTTAGAAAGCAATACCACTTAATGTAACAATTTTTTTTTAATTGCTTCTTAAGAAGAAAAGAGTCTTGCGTGACCATACCAATTCTTTCAGTTCGTGACATTAGAAAAGACATTTTTGAAAAAGAGCACCATGAGTTATTGAGATAAATGAAGAGTATTGTGTGACTAAAGCTTGAAAGTGCGACTGTAATATCAGTTCTGCTTTGTGCAATTACATAAGATGTCATGACTGTGACATGTAACACAATTCATCGTATAGCGTGACCTAACAGGATAATAAGCACTATTTATAGAATTGCCACACGGCAAGCCGCTGACCTTGAATGCAAACGGCTTGCACCACAGGCAAAGTTAACTATTTTCACATGTATTTTATTAGATAACTATTTTTAACAAATTCTCTGTAGTAAATACTTTGGCATAATTGCGCGTAATGTTATATCGGCTGAATCAATAAGGATTTTCAAAATTATATGCGCCGCTCTAGGTCCGAGTATTCACCACAGGGAGACCGACTTTTAATATGTATTTTAATAGCTTTTGCACCAAGGATTTTGAAGAACTTCCGATCTTTGTACACTTAAAATACCATCCTTTATCAATTTGCCAAAGTCCGACATCCATCAGTCCAGATTCCACACTTTTTAGGGATGTATTTGTGGGACTTTTTTACCTGTATTAATCTATTTTAGGTACTGATTGTAATGATTGTACATTTAACAAGCTGAAAATACTGTAATGTTTATAGTTTTGGTAGGAAATAAACGATTTAGCTAAATATACATATATTGTTTCATAGCCATTCCTTTTATTCATGGATTCACTTTAAGAGCGATTTTTTGAAGTCAATTTTCATGCAAAATTATTTTTCAGAGACATTGATATTAAAAAGCTTGGCTTACATGATGACATTTAGATATTTTCTAATCAAGCTATAAAACTTCTATAAAGCTGGCAAATAAGATTGAACTTACAAAACTTCTGAGGTATCTCTAGTCAAGTTAATACAGTACTCAGAAATACTCAGCTGTATTTGGCAAATCAGTTATGAAGTCTCCATTTGAAACTCTAGTGTAAGTAAAAACTTCGAAGAAAAGTTCAATCCCTGTGCACGCACCGCGTTTCACAGTAATTCAAGTGTTCAAGAGCTTATTGGCTTCAATGTCAGTCCATTCTAAACGGAAAGTTCTAGCTTCGTAAACGTATAGCTTGAACGTTTCAATGTGAAACTCTACTCTAAATAGAAATACAACTTTCTATATTTCTTTTTTAATAGTCGTGAATTGTTCAGGAACTTGTAGGCTTGAAAGTTATTCCATTAGCAACGGGTCCTTCCAAATTGAAACTAACGACAAAGTACACCATAGTGCCTTGTGTAAAATCACGTTCAACTCTGCCAATATCTGCATTCTTGCCGACATATAGCTCGATGTTTCCTTCAACAAGTTCGATGTAGACCTGCTTTCTTTTGCCCGACTTTGGGCGGATTCTTATTCTTCCCTTGCACTCTTTCAGCTTCTTTCGCGATTGAGTGGTCCAGAAGTCTTCGATGTTTTGAGGGTACTCTTTCTCCCCTGCCAATAACGCTCCTTTTGTCATCAAACGATTCATTCCTTCTCCGGTCTTCTTTAGGAAATGAGTAGAAACCAATCTTCGGCAGTGGTTCTGTGACTTTTCTTTACACATTTCAAGGGCCTTGTTGAATACACTTCTGTAAAAGACCTGATTGCCATCCAGAATCATAAGGAAGGCAATCATCATTTTATAAAAATAGGGCATAGGATCATAGCCCGATTCTTGTAGCCAGACATCAGCAACACTCAATCCCTTGTCCAAGGAGTAGTGTTTTGACCCTGTCATAAGAAGACACACTTTCATAAGATGGCGTGCCATGTCAACACGGGTGCTTTGCTTCTCTGTAAACATCAAGTCTTCAAGTAGTTTGAGTAGGAATACGTGAATGTTGTAATCTGCTGTCTCCATTTGATCAACGTTGTTCAAAATGTAATGTACTTGAAGCCTTTTAAGCTCGACAGCTGAACTCTTAGTAAATTTGTCGGAAGAGCAAAGGACTTTGCATGCTCTTATGATGTCTTGGTCTTTCTCCCCACTTCGTGATCGCCCTGATCTCCTTCTGGTCATGTCCTTTTTGAAAGTTTTCAACAAAGATATCTTAAGATCATTACATTGCATCTGTATTTCTTCTGGCTCTGCCAAGTTGGCCTCCTTTTGAACTAAGTCATCCACTATGTCCAAAAGGTGCAGCGAATCACCAACACAGGTTCTAAAGAAGGGTGGTGCTTCAGAGGTAATGAATTCAAAAGCTCTATCTGCGTCACCATCGCATTTATTCTTTGTAATCCATTCGATGCATGAAATCCACACCTTGACTTCACCCATAAGGGGCCAAGGAAAGGTGAGTGGCCAGTTTCGAGAATTCTTGTAGGACTGAAGGGCTTCATTAGCTAACTCTTCCAGCTCTGATATGCTGTCAATTTTATTCTTTTCGACCATGACTTTTAATTCACTTTGCAGAATATGACCCTTAAAGTCATATATGATTCTCTTCTTTGTTTGGGCATTATTGCATTTAAATGCCTCAGAAATCAGATGCTTGGCTTCTTTAAAGTGAGGGGGGTTATTCTTTGCATGAAATCTAGCGGCATGTGCATAAACGATGGCATCACTTGTCTTTTCAGCTAGTTCACAGAAGACCTTAGCAGCATCTCGGGCATCAATTGACTTTAACTTCTCAAACAGGATGGAAAACTTTGATTTGGGAAGAGAGCTTCGCGTTCGGATGAAAAGGGCGTTAACAAGCGAAAAGAATTCACTATCTTGGAAGACTGGAAATTCCAAAAAATCACGTGTCAGTGAAAAGATGTTGCGTTTCTGGGTATCGAAATACCTCTGGAGGACCATTTCTGCCACAAGTGGATGCTGGAGAGTGTAGCTTTCAGCACTACTCGATGAAGATGACCGTTTGGGATGTTTGGAAGGTCTTGCTGGGACCATCAAACTCAGAAGGTGGTCTGTAATGAGCTGGTTGATATCTTTGTAAGTGACTCCCTTATCAGCACCACACTGACGGATATGTTGGTTGAACGCTTTGTTCAATAGGGATCCTGGGGTTGATTGGGATGCATATATCTGAATGAATGCCACAACGACAGCGATTTCTTTTCTCAAACCATCCATCTCATCAAAGCTATCAAATATGATCTGCTTTAGTTTACAATCAAAACCTTCCAGTCCTTTAAGCATTGCCAGCAAAGGGAAATGGAACACTCTACTTGGGCTCAATGATTCCTTCTTGAACTTGTCAATATAATCTTTGTATTTTTCTTCAAATTGACGAAGATCTGCTAAGGAATCTTCAAGCTTTACTTTAACAAAGAAGCGATGATGGACATCTGTGGTTTCGGGATTTGTTTCGTCATCAGTTACCTTTGCTGAGCGGTGCAAACAGCTCAAAAGAACTGCCCTTTGACCTCTACTATTGAGTACCCTGACAAGTTTGGTATTCAAAGCTTCTATCCTCGAATGGTTACCATCAAGAAGAATAAGAGGGATCATCTGGCAGATATCTTGCAAAGCGCTTATACGATCAGCCAAGGCATTAATGAAATGGAAGTCGTCATCAAAATCAAACTTGTAGTCTTCCAATCTTGCAATTGCGCAAGGATATGACTTACGTAAGTCCCACAAGACACGTCTGGCAATGGTTGTACCACCTGTTCCTGGCGAGTGTCGAATCTCAAGTATGGTGGAGTGGGTTGGCCCTTGTTCCAACAGGCGTTGTATGTGGTTTCTCACCTCTTCACTCAGCTCTCTTCGTGCGTCATGGTTGTCATATAGACTCACAAAGGAAATCCAATTTCCTGACAAGAAAGCTTCTTTATGGTCATTAAGAATTTTATTCAATTTTTCTTGGTCGTCTTCGCTGTTCACCTTCGGTAGATCTTCACATCCGTCGTACAAGACATGCATATATTCCTGCAAGAATAAGTACTGATGATTTGTTAGCTTTGCAGACAGTTTGGCTTGAAAAGTCGGCATTCGATATTCTTTCCCAGTAGATACTTTCAATAAATCTCTCAAACCCAAATGTAGAAGGGAAGGTGGAAGGGTTGTGAGACGAATGTTAAAGCGTCGTTGAAGATCATGAATGTTTTCGTGTTTTACTCCAACAAAGGAAAGGGAGAATTCATCATCATGAAAGTTTTCAACAAGTCTTTCCATAGTCACTTCAAGAAAGGGAAGGGTCTGCCTTTGAAAAGGCAAAATAATACAAATAACAGGTTTCAGCTTATCAATCGCTTCTGGATCAGAACAGCAGCTCAAGAATCGAGACACATACTTCAATGACGAACTTTTCCATTCATAAAGGGCTTGTGCTCCACCATTTGCTCCGCTGTCTTTTTCTCTTCCATTAACGAATAGCCATTGGGTCTTACGTGAGTCGAGATGTCGAGCGAGACTGATTGTGGAACCATGGTGTCGTCGGATCTCCTCTGGTGTCATCATGTCAATTAGACTGTTCTTGCCTTCTTTTCGAAGAAAATCGTGGTACATGCCATACTCCTCGGAAGACGGGTCAAAGTCGAGAACAATTTTCCATGGTACACTTCTCAAGACAGAAAAGTGTTTCAAATTTTCTGATGACATACGATCCGTTATGAGGATGTAGTTATTATTATCATGGTTGAAATCTTGTACGTTATCGCAAAAACGAAGCCAATCATCCCACCTTGGGCCACTAAGGTCCTGGAAACGTGGCTGTTTTTCACTTTTAGAACCGTTTTTAGTAACCAGGCGATGTGCTACTTTTTCAGCCACTTCCTCTCCCATCATATCCATTTTCGCTTGGATGTCGTGTAACACAGCATCCTTGAGAGCCATTTCTTGTAGAAGCATATCACGGTAAAACTTTGCACTCTCCAAATTATCACCTAGTAGAAAAGGTTAACATGTTGAATTTCCAGCATTCATGAAATACTGTCAATGCATTAAAATCACTATTGACATGACACATTATAACCATATTTTGGGAGAGATATCTGTTAACAGCAATGGTGACAAATAAGTGTTCATTACCTGATTGTAAGTAAATCATAAACACAATTCTATGTTATTTCAAGCTACCTGTTAAAATCTCATCAATATCTCCCTCACTAGCACCGATAGTTTCCAAGCTTTTGGTAATTTTTTCCCAAGCTGTGTTGAACTCATCATCTGTCATTTGTTCTGTGCTCATATGACTAATCAGCTGGTTTTTCTGCTCTTTGACGGTTCGGATGGCATTTTCATATCCTGGTTTCAAGCGGATTTCCTTAGCACACTCCTTGGAGTAGAGTAGTACTGTTGTCATCAGAGAAACATCCCAGTCGTTAATGTTTCCATTGTTAAACCTGGAAAGCTCATGGTGTTTCAGTCTCATTATACCTTTGTCCAGATTTTTAGCATCATCAGGCTTGTTGGACCAGGAAGGGTGGATCTTCATGAATAACTTGCGAAGTGTGTCTAAGCCAAGACCATTATAGATGATGAGAATCTTGAAAAGATTATTCCTAAAGTAAAAAAAGGATGTCAACAAAAGAGGGCAAAATGAGATAAAACTCTTTGGTCAGGGTCCGTGCAGAGTATCAAAAACGAAATTTCAGGACTTTTCAAGGACTTTTTCAAGGACCAAAATTGTATTTTCAAGGAGCATCAAAATCATGCTAATTGTACATTCTTACCTCAAAACTTCAGCCGAACGGAATAATTCAGAGATCGCTAGCTCTTCGTGATATAGATCCATCTTTTTCAAGGACTTTTTTGAAATTTTCAAATTTTCAAGGAGTTTCAAGTGCCCTTGAAAACGAGTTTTCAATTCCAGCACTTTTCAAGGATTTAAGGACCTGCACGGACCCTGTTTGGTGCATGATATTTCAGTCCCTTTCATGCAGTCTCTTCATTTCAATGATAATATATTCTATTGTCTTAAGTATTGATAATATTGATTAATATTGATAAGTATTGATAAGTTTTGACAATTAAAATTGTTTAGAAATCATTGACTATGTCGCATCTCAACAAGGTTAAGGCTAGAGTAAACTGGGTTTGGTTAATAGATGTTGTCACTAACAGAGAATCGCGCTGTGAGGGTATATATATAGTCTATGAAGAGAATATAAGGGACTGTTCATTAAACATGCCTCAGGTGGTCTGGAGGAAAAGTTAAAAAAAACTTGCAAAAATTTGCAGCCCCCCTTACTCGATCACAATATTTTTTTCGAGCCCCCCCTCCTTCT